AGTTTTGGCCAACATTTAATGTTCATGTGGCTTGTTAGCAGGCCATGATTTAGGACTCCCACTTTTGGGAATAGGGCAATGCCTGTTCTCTTATACGATTTTGGGGAGCCAAGGTGAGGGATAAAATCATATCGATATTGATTGTTTATAGTTATATATTTCCAAACTTTGCAACTCAAATCTCAAACCAAACGTTTCAATAAAAATTATCGGTACTCTAAAGTATTCTACTAAACAGTTTAGTAATATAAATAAAATTTTCTTTCTTTAAAAATGAAATTATGCAAAATTGAATAAAAATCACATTCTCTTATCTATAAAAATACCCATCGCACAATCTCTTTCTTTCCAAAACTAAACTGTTTACCTAAGATATTATCCCAAGTGAAAGCACTCTCTTTTCCATCTCCATTGGAAATATTTTCTTATTTCTTCCCTGCGTATTTTCGCCGCCCACTTTTAATAATGTGAAATAAAAACGCCTTTTTGTGAAGTTTTTCCCAGGGAATTGGAAAAAAGTTTCCCCGTAAACTTTGGCTCCACACAAAACGTCAGGCTTTAATGACAACCACCAGCCATCGCACTAGCACGCACTCAGACAGGTAGAATTATACTTATTTTTTGTAGTTTCATAGAGAGTCGACTCGGTCTTTGGCTTTTATGGAGCAAGTTGTTCTCGGTTTCTGCTCCTGTTCCCGGTTGGCAGTTCACAAAAGATGGAAAAACAAACTAATAAAAGTAAAACACACACGGACAGGGACAGGAACACGGACACGGACAAGGATACGGACACGGATGCGGATACGGACATCGACACGGACACGGACGTCAATAAATGACAGGGGAAGAAGAAGGGAGGAGAGCATTGCTAGTCGACAACAAGTAAACTGACTGGTAGAACAAAGGAGCGACTATATAGAAGAAAATTGCAAACGTACACTGAGAAATTACATTGAATTGGCCAAAAAAAACAATTCCTAACATTATTTTTAAAAGTTGAAAAAGGTGTCGGTATAAGTTAGAACTATTTAAATGAACTGAGTTTGTTAATGTATTAATTTATATGAAATACATTTTTTTAACTTTTATTACAATATCATTAATTTAAAGAGTAGTTATTTAAATTGTTTTTGCTATGCGTTGTTGGGCCTTTGTTTTATGTTTTTTTAAGCTTGGTTCTTATTAATAAGAACTTCCTTTGAAAAAATCCCCAAATAAAAATTCTGATTAGACCATAGTTTTTTTTTGAAGTGTATATCAAACTGGCCATGATAACAACGCTGTGGTCAGTCGGTGGTTGGGCAGGGGGCAGTTGGGCAGGGGGTTCGTCACGTCACTTACGATTCAATCCCTGCATGGACATGGCCGACAGTTCGGCTGACGAGGACTGGCCCTGGTCCGGAGCCACCTCCTTCAGCTGGGACATTGGCGGGAACATGGTCGATGACATATTAAGTACTTCTTGGTATCTGCTCCTCGTTTGCGTTGCGAATAATGCTGGCAATGATGACGCCGGCGAAGTGGTGGTCGATGTGGTCGGGGCTGGCGAGGATACCGAGGGGTCCATTGTGGTCGTGGTCGTGGTCGACCTTGTTGTGGTTGCTGTTAGCTGGGATCTCTGGGTGGTGCTGGTGGTGGCTGCTTGGCGCACATCATATGCCGGGGTATTCGTGTAAAGCTGAGGATTAACTTGCTCCTGCATCAAACAATAGTCAACGCACTGATGCACGGCCAATTCCAGCTCCGGCTCCTCCGGACATTCTCGACTCGGACACGGAGACCACCAGACCTGCGGTGAAAAATACGGGGGGGGAAACACAAAAGAATGTATTGGGAATTAGAAATGGGAAAAGGATTTGTGCAAGCAGAAGGAAGGCTAAACGATGTTCAGCAAAAGCTTCAAATATCCCAAAACATTTGCACGGATTCTTTACATCGATTGGTTTGAGCTAACAGTAAGCTGGGTTCACTGGACTCGCTCAAAAATGGGATTATTGTAAGCGATGCAATATATGAAAAGAAACTTTGGCAAGGGTTAATACTTCTGTTATTTTGAAAAACATTATTCTTCTATATTTTATATCCCCAATGAAGTTCTAAAAGATTCGAAAATGGCAATAAAGTAAGGTAAATAAACATGTTTAATCAAGTAATGTATGTAATATTTGGAATCTGATTAGATTTCACATGGTAGGGTGGGTATAGAACGAGGCCAATCTTCGATAGGCGCACTGTTTTGTCCGATTTTAGCTATTGAGCTGGCTATCTGTTGCTGGCGTTTCTTTGTCTACTACTATTAGTTTTGTATAACATCTTGATCTCTCTTAACATAAACCAACCTCACTCTCCCTGAGCAAGCTGGTCGAAAATGTAGACAGAGCGTGTTAGGAGGGACAACGTTGGATGAGTGTACTCGTTACAAGCTATAGATTCCCCGATTCATTTACCGCATCCAGTCGTTACACGCTATACAAAATATTCAATTTCAAGCAGTTCGAATTTTCCATCTAAGTATATTTTTGTCGTATTACATATAATAAACACACCAATAACTAGAAAACAAATGAAATGACGATTACTTATCTTGTTTTCAAGATATATTATCAAAAAGTTACTCAAAAATTGTGTATTTCTTAGGACCCCAAAAGCCCGAAGGTTTCTGATACAGTCGTTTTACAGAATAATACTTTTTATTATTGTTCGTGTAGCTTATAAATAAATAAAACTTTTCCAAAATACTGATATTCTTTTTATACATTTTTTATACCGCTTTTAACATTTTTTTTGTTGTCTAATCTGTCGTCGTATGGTTTTAAAGAATTATACATGGTGGACATAGTAATATTCTTGCTCTTATACGTGGTTAAATATACATATATAAAACTACAAAAAGTGCAAAGAAATTAAAAAGTAGAATTATTGCTTAGAGTTTGGTCCACTATTGTGGAATTGGCCCTACGAAGAGTAAAGTTCCATCGAACACATTTTTTTATTCCCTTGATACCCAACTATTATGGGCCTAATGTGTTTAATGGGTGCCAAGGGACTTGGTCGACATCAGTGATTGTTTTTTATGTTTTTAGTTTTTCAAAGCTACATATGTTCTATTCCGAAAACTCAGCTGCGAACTCCGTTGGATATAAAAGGGAGCAATCTGCAATCTAGGGGCAGTCGAAATTGAGCTATGATCGTGCTTAGGTTGATTGGTAGAGTTCCTATTCGAATTCTCGTGAAATTTACGCGGGCGAATTTCCAATATTACCGGTTTATCACGTATCAAAAGGAAATCTGAATTCTTTATAATCTATTCACTATTTCTTGAGTTTCAAATCGCGAGTGAATTGCTTTACCCAAGCTTAAAACAGGACTGCCACCACGATCAATAAAATCATACCACGCTTTATAACTCATCCAGTTAACTTTCCGTTTCTGTTTCTATTTGTACAGAACGTGTGCTATCGATGATATGCATGTCCCTAACGATCGCAGTGTATCTTTACATACCAACGTTTCGAAATGTGACCGGAAAGTGCATTATCAGCAACCAATTGTGCCTGCTCTTCTCTTATCTGATATCTATTCTTACTAATTTCGATCTAACTTATGATTTTGTTGGTAATTTATTAAAAAAATGCGTATTGCAAAGATTCTTAAAACTGTTGATGATATACGATGTTAATATTCATTTATCCTCCTCAGTCGTTAACATCGTCGCCTTGTATGCTTACTTTCTCTGGTTCTCTGTAATAAGCTACCATTTGTGGAAAGTGTTCAAGTGTTCCCTCGGTCGCTATGAAAATCCTAATGAGTTCCTGGTCTACAGCGTCTTTGTCTGGGTCACTTCTGCTATTATGGCCGTAGGGACTCCCATGATAGTAATCGTTTTAGGCTGCAGTTTTGGTGATTTTTAAATGAGATTCAGTCGAAATTTCATAACTTGATGGCATTAAATTTTGTTTTTTAAATTTTGCATTTGAAAGCCTAAAAAAAAAAAAGAATATCTTTGGCATTAATTAAACGAAATCTATTTACTAAAATTAAGTCCCGTGGAAACATTACTCATAGAAAACAAAAAAACTAAACACCTCAGTTTTGCTCGAGTTTGGGATGTTCGAGTTATGAAAGATTGAAAATTTCTTTATGATACTACTGTATTTATCCGTCCAATTTCTTCTATTCACAGGTACTCTATGTATACTTGTTGGTTGCTCTTTGCTGGTTGCAGTCATTTTTAATGTGATTATGTTTACCCTCACTGCTGTTAACATAAAGAAAGTAAAAACAGAACTGAATACTTTTAAGGAACAGGAGGAGTCGATGACGATCTGTCTAAATTTTGACACTGAGACGTAAGATATTTTAACTGTGCAAAGTTGTAACAAATTACGATACCCATTCCGTTGTTTATTTCAGGTTTCTTCAGTTTACGCGGATCTCTGTCATGATGGGCTTGAATTGGATCCTGATAATAATTTGTTTAATTGCCAACGTGTTTTTGTCTCCACGAATGGATGTTGTTGTGCATCTGATCAATTGGAATGGTGTTATTGTGTTTGTTGTGCTTGTCCTCAAGCGCAGCACCCTGAAGATGCTGATGGATAGGCAAGTCCTCAATTATTATGATAGTTCTTCGATTAACTTTGTTACTGTCATTTCAGCTATCGACAAAGACAAAGGGATCGTCTGGTCCGTGCTCTGAGGCAACTCCCAGTTTAAATAGGCCAAAATTCGTAAAATACAGAACTAAACATTGAAAAAAAAATTGTGTAATTCTTTCTTTATATGCCTTTTGTGTATTATAATCTCTATTTTCGATCAGGACTGTAGTTCGTGATAATATAGTTCTCGCAGAAAGAGCTGAGTTACTCATCAAAATATATAAAACTACGGTTTGCTGAGTTTTTTATAAAAATATATTTATTTTAAAGAATGTCAAAAGAGTTTTGAATTTAAGTCTTCTTCACCATCCCCAGTAGGCCGCAAGTATTCCATCAGAGCGTTCTCTGTTCACTTTGCTCAGTTCCCAGTTGTCAGGTTATAGGTAGGTCATACTATCGCAAGCAGAGTAGCCAAAAGGATAATAAAGGAGAATCAACAATGTCCTCTTTGCTGCCCAAGTCCTGGAGCATTCAGTTTCGCGAACTGGTCAGCTCGCCCTTCGCCATCATAGCGCTGACGTGCGTCCTGGGATATGTGGCCTACATGAAGACCCGGCGTCAACATGGCACCTACGACGATGAGGACTACGAGAACGAGGGACACCGCAAGCTGCCGGCTCCGTTGACGGGTCTCCATCTCACCCGAAAGCAGTTGGCCAAGTACAATTCGAAAAGGCCCGATAAAACATATTTGGTGGCCCTTTTCACCGTGATCTATGACGTTTCGAGTGCCCCCCATGACTTTGGACCCGGTGGTAAATACGCCAAGCTTTCGGGCACCGAAGTGACAGGTTTCATTAAAAAACAATCTGTTGTCGAATCGCGGGACTACGAATCCTATTTGAGCGAGTGGAAAATAATGCTGGAGGACTTTTTCTATCCAGCTGGAAAGCTAATCGATGGGGAAAAACTTTCCGAGGCAAATGAGTTGATACTGAACAAAAAGAAAATGGATGCAATACCGGAAGAAAAGGAGAAGGAGGAAAAGGAGGAGGAATCGTTTCAAGAACAAGAAACAGAACCAGAACCAAAACCAGAACAAGAACAAGAAACTGAACCTAATCGTGAAACTGAAACTGAAACATATCCAGAAGCAGAGCTCCTCATTCCGGAGTTTTCCAAACTGGATTTGAGTCCACCAGATGAGGGCATTAATTCCGACTGCGATTCCCTTCGCACGGCCTATGATTTTCCGCCGGGACAGGACGATCGCCTGGAAGATGTGAATGATGACAACGACGAGGAGGAGTTCTGTGAAGCTGGACAGGGGGATAATGATGGCGATGTCTGCGAATATGTGGCACCTACTGATGAAGACTCCAACCAGAGCAATTGGAACGATGGAGATGTGACCATGGTGCCCAATTTATAAATAATGCCTCCACCTTCACGCATCGCCCTTTGAAATCCAGCCAAAAGTGCCACTTAACCCATCATAAGCCCCCATATATGGGCGTAAGCCCTTAGCCATAATAACACCGACATAAATAAATATCTCTCGGATTTTATGTGTATCTGCATTTGCAGCACTTACACCGAGAGAAACATAACATCATCAGCCGTAATTAAGGCTGTTATTACATTTGCAATTTGAAAGCATTGTCAAAATTATATATTGTTCAAGATTCAATGGGATGCACGTGGATTTGTAATATATTAATATGAAATATATGAGTTAATGTGTCAAAAAATTGTATGTCTTGTGCTTTCCTCTAACACTAATAATTTCCGTTCTGTTTTATTTTTCGCTGTGCATTGCCTGCGGTTATGTGCTCGTGTTTCTGCATATATCCGTTACCAATTTTAATGCGAATTCAATAAGGCTCTGCCAAGGGTTGAAAGGGGCTGATTGGGCGGGAGTATCGAGCGCTGGCCTGCAATAATAAAATGGTAATTTCCGTTCACTGCCGTCGTCGGCGGTCGATGCCAAATAAATTTATGCCAAACGGCAAACCGAACTCGGCTCTATAATGGCATAAAATAGTAAACCGCAAGCAACAGGACATGGCCAGTGTAACAGGACACGGTATATGGTACATTCTCCAGCTCAAAGGATGTCGAAGTCCGGCGAACGTGCGGAATGAACGCAAATGTAGCAGTAAGATGCGTTTGCATGCTCTTATGGCAGCATAATGCCCTTTAAATCGGTATATACGGCTGGAAGTTGAGATCATTTCCACTAGAGTTTTCTTCGGTTTTCCTTTATTAATGGAAGTTATCACATCTTCAAATAATTTTTTAGTTGGTTGGGATTTTTCTTTGATTGCATATAACATATATTTGTTATCTGTTACACTGGTATATTGATTTAAATTTAAATATATCCCACCTCTACAAGATTTGTTTCTAGATAAATAGGTATTCACACTAAAATGGTTTAGGATATTATTTTAAAAAATTGTAATATATATTTTATATTTTATATTTATATACCATTTAAAATTCTTGTAAGCAGAAGGTGAATAAAGTAACCCAAACCTTCACCTTTTGTAGGGTATTTATCTAGGGTATTTACTAGTCGCCTAGACTTTTCCGCTACTTCCCCTGTTTGCTGCAGCTATTTTAATGGTGTTATTGTATTTTATGGGCACATCATAAATACAAATTCAATATACGCCCGTGCCAAGTGGCGAACACTGGGTGGGATTGGCCGCCAATGGATGCGTGTGTGCGTATCCCTCGGATACGTGCGTGAAGTGGGTTGAGAGCTGGGGCGTCTTTTGGCCAAGGGCCAAGGACCCAGGACCCAGAACCCAGTACTCAGTACCCAGGAACCAGGATCTCCCCCAAAATAGCAGTTCCATTGCGTTTCATTACGACTAACGGCAATGGCTCGAGCACAAGAAAGATTTTAATGTGTGTGCGGGTGTGCAGTCGTGTTGGTGTTTTAGTGCGGCTTAAGTGCTGGCAAAACGACACTAAGATAAATGTACGTGATACACAGCCACGGACACGAAACACTCACACTAGCACTCGGAAAAATCCACAAGAAATGTCCCTAAATAAATAGTAAGAAAATATATTTTCCTTACTTAATACTACAAAATACTTAATAATAAAAGGAAAACTATTAAATTCTTCATTTTTACTCCACTATAAATAATTTGTTTTTCCTTAAACCTTAAATTAATTGTTTTTAAAGAGTTCGTTAAAACTGTTTCTCCTCCACGTTCTTTACTTAAAATAAATTACTTTGAGCAGGGAAAAGCAAACTTTTACATTTTCAGTTGCTTATTAAATTACTGAAAACCTGGTGCAGTTGAGGGAATTATTTTGTTTTACCATAACAAGATTTTCTGCTAGTGCTTGTAAACCTGATGTGCACTCGGCTTAAGTGGATTTTTTGGCACCGACTAGAAGATTCTGGTGGGGCCCCTGCTCTGGAAAATCTTGTAGTTGCTTCTGGTGAGCTGTTTCTAATGCGTTCCATTCGCTTGCTAGCTGTCTGGCTGCGTTGCTGCTTCTGTCATTTTCTATTTTCCATTTTCCATTTGAATTTGTTTAGCCCCAGCCCCGCTCTCAATCGTAAGGGCCCTTTGGCTCCGTTTTACCATAATATCCCAGCCATGCAGATGTCTGCCCCGCTCCCCCGCCTACTTGTTGTCCATAATTCGATTTATGTAAAACCCTTGTAGTAGTTCTGTAGTCCTGCGACTGCTGCAATTTGCTGCCACTGCTCGAGAGCTGCTTGTGTCCAAATGCAATTGCCAAAAGGTGTGAGACTGTCAGCCAGCTCTCTGCCGACTTCATAAAGAAATGCAATCTCGAGAGGATTGAACGGAGCTGAACTCTGGTCGAACACCTCGGGGAAAAGCTGCTGCCGTCTGCCCCGAAATCCCTTTCTGCCATCCATAAAGCATGTACTCAAATTTGTTATGCCACATCTGACCGGCTTAAAGGACCCCCAGGACCCGACACGCAATAACATCCAACCCGGAGCCAGAGTCGTTTGCATTGATATGATCATAAGCATAAAGCGTCCACATATATATATCGATATCAATAAAAAGGAAACGCTGAGGGAAATCACAGAAATTCTGGTACAACAAATTTCCCCCCAAACACCGCCGTCCCTCTCAGATGGTATGACATTTATTTGCTTTATTTCGATGATTTTACATGACGCAAATTTATGCACAAATGCAGATAGAACCAGGACCAAAATCGAACCGAGGACAGCAAAATGAAAAAAAAATCGAAAAAAGGAAGCATGATTTTCACTGCTGCACTCGCGCAGGGTGACAGAAAAATACGTGCACTCGAAAAATACATTTATCTAGATTCGGCCAAAAACTAGACTATATTGAATTTATTATTTCAAGTAACAACACCCTAACCATATATTATCTTACACAACAAATGTTTATGTCTGAATTTTATTAATTTTCTTATGAGTTAAACAATCTGATTTTATATTTACTTGTTGTTTCTTTATCAAAAATATATATTTATAAAAAACGTATTTTAATTTATGGTTTTATATTAAACCAATTTGTTTTCAAAACGATTTAATTTGTATTATTTTTATATTTTCTTTTAGGCTTAATCCACAATTTATCGATATAAGTTCTTATTTGTTCACCTAAAATCATTCCAAAATAAAGATTAAAGTGTCTTTAAAAAAAATAACGAATTCGCTTAATTCAAAAATATTTCGTTTCAAAAAGTACTTGTTAGTTAATATCGTCGATTTAAACGTGAGTTTTGTGCGCTTTTGTCGAGTGTCTAGTCACTTGAATACAGGAATAACTGCCAAGTGTGGTACTCCACGCGTATACGTAATATTTGCTCTGTTCTATCTGTGTGGGCTCCGTCGCATTGCGTATCCGCCGCGTGCGCGTTTGTGTGTGCGGCAGCATGTGGCATGCTGCTGGGCGCTCAGAAGCCGGCAGGAAGTTGCCAAGCGGAACGGAGCATCTACATGTTCTTTCACCGAATCGAGCAACGTGCCACGCATTAGATACTCAGAGTTTCACACACAAACACACGGCACGTTGGTGTGGGTGCCATTTTGTACGTGCAAAAATTGTGTTGGTGTAGGTGTGTGTTGCATGTGGCAACATTATGTTGCCGCTGCCTCAAATAAATGCCGGCTTTTATGTAGTTCTCTCCCGCCACTTCCCTTGCTCCTTGGTATTCTCTCCGAAATAGAGACATGCCGTGACTGAAGTGAAACCATTGTGGAAAGTGGAAAGAGGGCTTTGAAAGCAGTTTCGAATGGCCACGAGGATGGCGAAGATTTTTGGCAACTCGCACGCAACAATTGCCATTGAAAATTACTGCTTAAAATGTTGCACAATTTAAGGTCGATTTAAGGTTTGATTTAACCCCAATAAATATATATGATTACAATAACTGTAGTACAAAATTTTAAATTTGTTCTGAATACAATTCCTTTTTCTTACTTTTTACTACACTTCATAATTTTGTTCTTCTATTTTATTTTGAAAAGTCTGAATTAAATGGAAAAGTTAGCTGTTATGTTGATACCTAAGATATACAAAATTAAATGGGGATGTTTAAAAAAATTAAATCTTGAAATGTGTATTAAAGAAATGCATCTGACATTCGAATTGAAAAGATAGTGTTCCATACTTTTTTACCTTACATAAATTTGTAAAAGCCCTAATCTTTGCTGTGTCTCACCCAAAATTCATATTTTTATTCTTATCAAAAAAATAAATCAACCCATTTATTAAAGTTCAAATAAGGATATTCAATGTTCCCCCGTAATTTATTAACACCTTTCTATAAAAGACAAATTCTGATCAACAAAAACGAAAGTGAAACTTAATATTTCTATGACGATAATTTTAATGGCAGGTTGAAACTTGAAGCGTTTTAAGCATAAACCCCGACGCACCTCCTAATTTCGAACTATTCAGACACCCCCACTTCGCTCACAATGTAGTTAAAGTCATCAAGAATGTGAGAAAGGGGGGTAAAACTGGCGGAGGTTGGGGAGAATGCTGGGTAACCATGAAATAAGCGCATTAGAACTGTTCAAGAGCAACAGCTGTTTCCCATGAGCAGGAGAACAATGCATTCGGGAACCATGCCCGCAAGGGAAAACTCAGAGGAGCGAGGTTGGAAAACCGCAGCCACATTATTTTTAGCTCTTAACTAAACAAGCGTCTAAACATATTTGCCCACGCACCTCAACCACAGCACCCAAAGAAGATTACAGCCTTTTCCAAACATTAAACCTGATTGAATCGAAGTCAGTGGGCTTTAGTCGATTGAAGGAAGGAATTTTCATCGCTCTAGAGTGTGCACAGCAATAAAATTTAAATATTCTCAATATAATTTCTAGGAAGGTGATATTTGTTTATTTATTTAATAATTATCAGCAAACTTTAAATAACAATAAAAAAAACAATGTTAAATGTATGTTAAGGACTGAACACATTTTTAATTGTTTTTTGAACTAAATATTAAATTAAAATCGACCCTTCCAAGTGTTATTATTAGATTAATTTTAAAATTAATTTAAGGATATATCTTTTCTTGTTCAGTGTGTGGCAAACTCACCTCAATATCGCCGCTGTCTGGATGTCTCAATACGAACGCCGATGGCACCACGCCCGGAATCTCCTGCTGCGGTATAAAGAGCAGCGAGTGATGGAAAATCGCATTCAGGAGCAGACTCATCACAACGACCGGTTTGTATTTGCCAAATTTGTCAACGAGGAAACCTGCA